CTTAATTTACTCTGGTTTAAAATTTGGTTTAATTTCAATGGCTCCTGTTAGGGCATGATGGATCACTCTATTTGGGCACGATGGGGCATAACTCAGTGCCCCGAATGTTTCCTGATGGTTGCCAATGCAGAGCAGGCTTCCCTTAGCAGTCTTAATCTTAGTCTTTTTCCTATACAATGCAGCGGAAATAGAAGCGCAAGACTCTGAAGGGTTCGACACCGGCAGATGTGATATTCTTGGACGGGAAACGAATCTATCTAATAATAGTGGATCGTATAATAACTTCCGATTAAAGGTTCCTAATTTTCTCCTCGACCCAATCGCACCCCGGACACTGACCCATGGCGCCCCATTTTACACGCGGGCCTTCCGTTGCTTCAGAGGGACAGTGATGCCTTGTTGCAGGCCGACAAAAAAGTGGCCCATGGTGCCTCACCCTCCCCTTTCAGTTATTTTTCCCTGTTGCGACCAGAGCTGATGGGTCGAGCGTAAAGGAAAACTTCTTAGAAACTCCATTCACAAAGTTGTGTGCGGGCGGTATTCGTCTTATCCGTCGAAAAAGTTTCGTATGAAGAAATGTATGCTCGGTAGTTGCTTTCGCAGGGAGAAACAATAGCAGACTCTATCGTACCATTCTGTACCATATATAAAATAGGGACTGTGTTAGTTGGTTGGCGACGACACTTCCCGCTGATTATAAAAAATAATGACTGATTGTCGGAGAAGGAAAACGCACTTGTTAAGAGGTTGCCGAAACACGAAGCGAATTGATGAAATTCCGGTCGACAAGATGAATGAAGAGTCGCTTTCTTCTCAAGGCCTCCTCTCGTACCTCTTGACGCAAGGCCTCCTCTCGTACCAGAGGATCCTCGAACAGAAAAGCTGGAAGCCCAGGTGCAATGCTGAACTGAGCTCTCGCGTCTGGCTGCATTGTGCCTCGGTATTGCGGCTCGGGAAGGGATGCAGAGCGTGCCCACGCAGGTGGTTATCACCATGCGGCGAGATTGTAATAGCGAATATTTTTCGCCCGGACAAACGCAATTTTTTTTATTCTCGTGGCAAATGGATTTGGCTGAGGAAAATTTTCATGAGGATCTGTGTCCTACTCGGAACATGCATCTTCTGGGTCAGGATGGTTTCCGAATCCCTCTCGGGATCAACTTTCTATTTATGCTAATGATGATTTCGAGCATATCGGTTTTGTAAAGAGTGGTCGTTTCATTCTGAGGTTTGTGAGAATATTTAAGTATTTTCAATGTGTCATGTATACAATGGCCCGCTTCTAGATCTTGCCAATGACTCTCGTTCTCTCTCTCTCTCTCTCGCCCTATATGAATATATGTGTTGCATATGTTCTCGCAAAGCTGTCTTTACTCGTCTCGATGAACGGTGAACAATTCGTTATCCTGCACTCCGTAGATCTGGTCACAAAACGATAGAGTGCACGATGAATTCCATATGCACGACCCCTACATAGGACCTCTTCAACTGCTGAGGCTGTCGCATTTGTTGCCCAACGTTGCAGTTGCTCGCAGGTAGGTTCTATTGTCGGTCATGGTCTTGTTGCCTGTGCCCGAAGCCTCGTCCTTCAAATTGATTCCGATCCCAGCACGGAGAAATAACAACCAAGGCAATGTAAATGCCATCCATGAGAACACTGAAGGTAACGGTGTCTGTGTCGAAGCCACTATCACTCGTGGAGCCCTTCGAATGTGGGAAGGCCTGAAGTGTTGGGACACTAAAAGTCGCATAGAGAGCAATGAGGAAACACACGTATATAATGTCACATTTTTTCCACAGTCTTTTTTTCTGCGCGTGCAAATGAAGGGAACTGACTGAGAGTGATCTAAGCAGACTCCAGGGAAACAGTCCGAGGACGCAGTTTAGGGTCACGATGAATTTACACCTTCTCACTATTTCCAGGTATTCCGATGTATGGGGTACAGCTGGAACTGTTGGGACAGTGCAGATCTTGCCACTTCTCATTCTCATGACTCTATAGCACAGTGTCGAGTTTGGCAATGGAATGCTTAATGAAACTCGTATAAAGGGAGGACGGGTGGAGGACCGGCACTTAATTGTTGGAGGTCTGGGCGGTGTCAGGTGTTAGACACGGAGCATACTTAATTCATTATTGAGCTGCGGCATATTTCTTCCTTTTGAGAGTGCACAGCTAATTAAGAGTGTGTGTCTTGGTTTTGATCAGTGATAGCAATTAGTATGGTTTGGCTCGGAGTCATATGCTCACTTTTACGTATCCAGAAGTGATGAACATTGGATTCGGGCCTGTGTTAGTCCAGCCTCCACTGTCTTCCATTCCATCAAGTGAGTGAACACGAGCACCTTTAAGTGGCACAGCGGAATAGCAATGAGGCACAATGTATTTATGGACCAGGCTCTTGGGAAGGAAAGAATCACACTTATGAATTCTAATGCTTGCTACGGATTGGATGAAAGAAAAATATAAAGACCCATTCCGCAATGCAATGCTAATTGGTGTCCTTTCATTCTTATTATGTCTCTGATTGGAAGCATCCTACTATCATGAAACTTTGAAATGTCACTGATATGACTCAAAAGTTCCTCCACAATTTGTTTACTTCATATTTCCACAGATTTTGAATATTTTAAGGTGAAATCAGCTCACATGATAGTCAAGAGGTGGGGAACTTTCTTGAAATACCAAGCTTCCAATATCTGGCCTTGGAATGGCAAGAGGCTATTCGATTTTGCCGTGGTGCAAAATGGCTATTTGAATGGACGCTTTTGGTTGAGTGACTCATATGCGATGTGAATTCCGAAAGTATTTCGAAGTTCGTAACGTTCTGGATGCCAAAACCATGCGAAATGTTGAAAATAGTTTTTTTTAAGTAGAAACTTCTTCTGGACATGAGAACTTAGGAGTTTTTCGTGAGCATGAATGGGAAACCCCATAGCTACATGTTTGGTGTAATTTTGAGTCAAAGGAAAGATTGAGGCCTTTTTCAGTGGTGATGGCAGACTACCCACAAATTTCAATAGTGAAACTCATCATGAACTGTTCAAGGTGTTTGCTATTATTCAATTAGAGCAATTTTTGAAATGATACTTCCAGACAAGGATAAGATGTCCTGGATCCGGTTGCTTGGTATTAATATTATCCTTGAAGTTCTTGACCAACAAAACGAAATTTGGACCCCTAAAAAGAGTTGAATTCCACCCCCCCTCCAATCGGATTCAAGTAGAGCGCTAGTTCTTGAACTTTCTGCTCACCTTCCGCACCACTGTCAAATATTATTTTTGTTACACCTTTTTCTTCTCTCACTTTTGTCTCTTTTCTTTTCTTCTCCTTTCTTCTCTACTTAACTCATGTCGGGCAACGTGCTCCCCCTACTGGAAGCGATTATGGACCTCAAATCTTTACCCTCCCCAATCCATTACTACGTTTGCAATTATCAGGCGGTCATTACTAACATGCCGCATCATTGAGACACTGAAAGTACACTGTTTTTTATTATAAATATTTTCTATTTAGCTGTATCGCTGAAATTAGGCTTAAACTCCTATCAAAATTCTCTTGCTCTTCTCTACTCAGGGATGGCCCTCCTCATCGTTGAGAAGGTACATATTACAATGGATGACTGCATCACACACGCGCGTGCCTCTGAAGTGCAATAGGCTACAGTCTGCCTGGTTTGCGTATTAAAATTAGGAAAATATAACTATCTTGAACTTAAAAATACTGATGTGGAATGATGCTTTGTGTGGAAATGGAGATGCAACATAGTTGTCTTGCATAGGACGAGAAATAGCTGTGTAGCTGCCATACAAGAGAACCGTAATTCCAGATCACTTTCTCTGCACTGAAGCACGAGGAATGTGGACGAAATATAATCTCGAACGTAACATAAAACTAAATCATATATACTGTGGCCTGCATCTATGATCCAGCGAGCGTAGATGACCCAAAACTATCCGCAAACTTTTCCCAGAAGGTCGAGAAATACGAGGGATCAGTTGTAATTATTGGAGGTGACAGGAACTGCTTGTTAGATGTCCAGGCCGACAACGTTGGAGGTAACCCAGTCGCCCATACTAAAGCTCAAAATATTATATTACAATCTGTCCTAGATATTGCAATCTTCGGCTACTTTTACATTTTAGGTGAAATTTACTTGCTGAAGGAGTATAGAGGAGAATATGAAACTTCCTTCCCTCCCCACCATGTTACGCAAAATACAGGGGAATTTTATGCTCAAATGGGAATAGTGAATAGGTCATGAACCTGGGATGGGACGAACAATATACTTTACTCATATTCATTGACGAAATTAGGAAAACATTAGCATCCAATGCGAAAAAAGCATATCTCGCGGTAAATGGCCCTCATGAATCGGATTAATTCCAGACTCATTTTCCACATGATTAATGCATTTCCAATAACAGAGTTCCAAGAGGCAACAGACATGGGAAGAAATCCATAGCACTATCATCTCTAGAGGTGGCCGTATACTCCCAACAGTGACTGCATGGGGACGACGGAGCATAACAGTACCAAGTGTCGGAACATGACAACTTAAATATAGCATCAACTTAAATACAAATGCTAAAGGATGTTTCAGAAATTGCATTTATTGCGAATCACTATTGCTTCATAAAATAATTGCAGATTATTAATCACACAACACAATAAAAAAAGAAGCAAGGTTCCTTTTAACTATGAGTACCAGATGCAATCCTCTAAGTAAAATCTGATTCTTACCCTCTTCAGAATTATGCATTTCATTACTATTGGCCTTCCCAGATATTCTACAGTAATATTAATTTCACTGTATAACTCTATCCCAATGGATTTCCAACTTAAATTTAGGAAAAGTTAAAAATTCAAAACCATATGCATTACTTATTTCCTTAAATAAAGAACACCAAATGTCCATATACTATTTGATAAGACACTGTCGAATACATATAAAACAAATTTTCATTATGGACTCCTGAAGTTAGTATAACACTAATGATTCCGAAGAAGTAAAAATAAATAATAATCGCAGGATACACTTCATCCTCATATCATGACCTTGGTTTCTCAAAAACATCGTCAATTTTTAGTTTCTTCGCATGCCGATAGTTCTTTTCAGCCATGAACTTCAGGATCTGTTCTCTTGTTCCTTTGTTAGATTCCACCATCATGATCTTCGTATGAAAACGTAAAACAATGTTTTGAAAAGCAAACAAAAATTATCTCCAGAACGCATTTGGTGTAATTCCATACCTGAATGTCGAGAATGTCCCAAGGGATGCTAGTGAGAACTTCATAATCCATTCCTTCAATATCAAGGCTGAAGAAATCTATCTTCGACTGGTCGATGACGCTGAGGAATGATTCTAACGGGAAACAGATCAAGTGCTGTCCATTTTGGTCTGTCTGATTCTTGGACGTCATCTCTGCTCCTGCGCCTTCTCCCTTCAAAGACATCTGCATAGGCAAGAAATAATACCTCGATAGAAGAGCAAAAAGGAGGAGTGTTCGTCTTCGTCAAGGCTGACCTGTTGGGGATATGGGATAGGACTGAGACAGGAATGGGACAGCCATGCCTTTCTCTTTTTTCCTTTTAAACTGTCGAAATTTCTGGCGTCGGGTTCGACAAGGAGTCCTGTCCATTTCCTCTCCCTTTCAAGCCAGAGGGTATTTGAAAACATTTCGCCATCATATGCTCCAGCTTCGATGAAGAATCCTCCTGTCTATGGATATTATCATTGCTCGTGAAAAATGGAACCAACATTTTTAAAAGTAACCTAAGAATAAGAGACTGACAAAATTTTCAAAGGTGCTCTGAAGGAAAGCTATCTGGTCGGGGAACTGGGAGAAGTGACTTTGTGGCTTGGTGAGGTTGTAGGGAATATCACTGGGAAGAGGTGGGATGAGAACGTAGTTCTTGATGTACTTGAGCAAGCGCGGATCATCTGCCGAAATGTTTTCACCCTTCTCAACAATCCTCAGCAACAGTTCTTGTTCGTCCCATGTTTCCGTCTCCGTTTCTGGAGAGGAAAAAAAGGGAGATTCATGGCGGCGCAGTACACTCCCTGCAAAAAAGAGCCACGTCCGAAGCGTTTCATAGATTTCGGAGAGTGTCTCCTCGTCCCTCGGACTCGCAGGCTCTTTGGCCAGGGCGACGGCGAGGGGGTGGAGCGTGAGGTCAAGGAATCTCATCCCCTCTTTACTCCCATTCCATTCCATTCTCTCCCCTTGAAAAGGGCCATATCTTCGTAGATACCATTTGCTTGAGAACAGTGGTAATGTTCCGAAATAATTTCGGAATTCACGCTCAATAAATCTAATTTATTGCATTTTGATACACCTTTTTGGATCGAGTCTTGGCACTGCAACCAAGCTTTTTCTTCTTTTTCATTGACGTTGACATAATCCATGTGACTTATTGCTGGCAATTAGCATAGGTTTTCTAATTTTCCTTCCTGAGTCCTAGAATGAATCCCTTTCATTTTAGCACCTAAACCACTATGATGAGACCTTCCAGCTTCTTCTCTTTCGTGTCCAAACCAAAAATTCATTCCATAGGTACTTTTTTTTCTCTTCCTTCACTTTTTTTCATCCCTTGATATCTCGTAAATAAATTGACAATTTGAAAACTATAAATCCATCCTGCAAGACAGGTCAGAAGATGCAGTACAACAGGGAAGGAAAAATGTAAAGAATTCCACTCTAAGAGAGTAGAATGAAAGGCTGGCCCCGAGGGCGATGATGCCACCACCCCACTTGAAGCTCAATTTTCTTCTCCTTTCTTGTCCTGGCATCTCCATAGCCTGCGGCTCTGTCTCTTTCGCCCTGTTTATTTCCATCCTCTTTTTCCTGTTGCAGTAAATTACAATCTACCAATGTAATATCTCGTACCATTGAATGCTTTCTCACTGTGGCACTTGTTCTTCATACGTATCTTTAATTCGTTCCTCTCGTGATTTGTTCCTTGCAAATTTGTCGACTAAAACAAAATACTGTACTTGAATGACGGCAGTAATTTTTCATTTGTTTAGGAGAGATAAAATAAATATATAATTTTTAAGAATAACAATTCGACATTACTCTTTCTCCTGGAAATAGTCCTACGCGTTACCCATTCAAATTTCCAACCCCTAACTTCATCAGGCGAGCTGATGAAGTGATGATTATTTTATTGTATTTATGTAGATACCCTGATCGCTGTGGGAATATAAAATCACGCTGACTTTCGATGACACCAGGAACACGAGTTTTCATACTTTGTACTAGCTTCACGGTTGTGATGAGCATAGGGTGAGCATTCCCCTCAAGGAATTCGTATCTAGACAGGGTAGGAGAGGATGGAGAAACACAAAGAAACCAGACGGAAAAAGCTACGTCCCCTTTTCCCGTTCTCTGCACGGAGCGAACGACTTTATTCAAGAAGATCTCTCGNGAGGGGGGGGGGAGGGGGGGGGGGGGGGGGGGGGGGGGAGCCGTCCAAGACTTCATATCCCATGTATAAGAGGGTGAATCTTGGAACTATTCCGAGCTTTAGCAGGAAGAGAAATAGAATGGATATACCATTTTCTTCACAGTCACAGGCCATTCGCCTCTAGGCCAATCATAAATTCGAAAGAGAGAGTATATTATTCATATCCTTTTTTTTAATATTTGATTCTTGACTATACGAGAGATCTTCTTGAATAAAGTCGTTCGCTCCGTGCAGAGAACGGGAAAAGGGGACGTAGCTTTTTCCGTCTGGTTTCTTTGTGTTTCTCCATCCTCTCCTACCCTGTCTAGATACGAATTCCTTGAGGGGAATGCTCACCCTATGCTCATCACAACCGTTAGGGAGGTTTTCCCTTTTAGGCAAATGGACTCCGAATCAAGGTGGATTGGAACATTATACAGGGTGGCGCACGTAAAACAGGCCCGTCTCCGACAGCCTACCACGAGCGTGTACACAAATTCCGTCACGACCGACTCTTCCTGGTTGCGACGGTGTCTGGCTGGCTATTCCAAAGTCTGTGTCAGTCGATTAAACAAATGCATTTGCATTTGTTTAATTTCCTGTACGGAGTGCGAGACCTACGCCCACGATGGCCTACGAGGCGGGCCGGTTTTTCGTGCGCCACCCTGTATAAGGAAAATGGTATGTGGTCGGAGAGACAATGATATCGTTTTCTTCAAATGGCACTAAAGTGTGAAATTCTTTTTCATGTCCCCCAGCGCGTGCGCCAATAAATTTAAGCCTGAAAAACTCAGAGACATTAATTGTCTCATTCTGACGACCTCTATCAGTCCACTCCCTGTACTTCAACTCGGATGTCATTCGAGTTGTCACCACGACAGAACCCAAAAACAGGCCCAAATGGCCTGTTTTTGGGTTCTGTCGTCGTGACAACTAAGTTGGAGTCAAGGTTTGGAGCTGGTCATAATTTGTTTCCATTCCCTTCAATTTTTACCATTCTCTTGAAGGCCTACCAGACCGAGGATCTTGGAACATTTTCCCTCATCGTTTTAATGAACCTTTTTATATAAGTGCTGTATTATACATCTTACAAGTCTGTGACCATTCTCATCTCTATCAAATTTGTATGTTTTGCATGAAGAAGTTCTTGCAGTGTAGTTCGAGAATCTCACCAATAAACAAGGATAATCTCTCTCGGAGGGAAAAGTACTGCGATTTGAAGCGCGAGATCCCATTTTCCATGCTCGTCTGACCCAAATAGTATACGATGATGAAGGAGGAGAAGACCATTCCTAGACACAGGAGCGTTGCACTCTTCCTTGAAGTACGGTTGCACACCATATTCATAGCCGCGAGGGGATTTGATGTGTTGCCCTTCCTCCCGTCTTTACCTTGGCCTTTTCAGCATTCAAACTTCAAAATCACGACAAGTAGAAATCCTGGACCAATATATTGCGATTAATTTAACCCATCTTCCAACTGATGACAAGCACACATCAAAATGGATATGATAAATTCTTCACTCTTGAGAGTAAAAGACACAGGCTTCCACGTAAGCAAGTCATTCCAGCGGCAGCCTCGTGAACTTTCCTGTTATCTTTTATCTCAAAACTCGAATGGGATAACAGTTGAACAACCGTGAAGGAGAATGCCACGAACTTATCGCTACGAAAGGCGGAAGTGTGCCACCCTCATGCTGTTTGCGCCAATAAAATCCGTCTAAAATGTCGGATAACAATGGCGGAAATATTATTTATTGGGACAACAGAGGGTGGTCATGAAGTCCTAATCTATTTCATTGAAGAACTCAAAATACTTACAAAAATGGATGACGTGCACTTCAAGTCGTCAATAATGAACTAAATTAAACTGGTGGAAGTAAAAAAAAATATTAATAACAAATCACTTAACATTTGTTTATTACTGAAGTTCCGCACGACCACCTTCCAAATCGCTACATAACTGCAATCTGTTTCCCTGAATATTCAGGCTGTTCAACGTCAGGGGTTATGGTGTTAACAGCAGCATAGATGCGATCTCGGAAATCTTCAACATTGAGAACTTCTATGCTGTAAATCTTTGACTTAATGCCCACATGCAAGAAAGTTTAAATGGAAATGGGAAATGAGACATATGAGTAATGAATGAAAGCACAAAGAGGCTCAAATCCCATGCAGAGAGTGTAGGCCTCAAAAGATGAAAATGGATGTAATACTGTACAATGGGTACAGTATTACTTCCCTCTGTATTTCCAGTCAGACCGAGAGAGACTCAGTGGCAAGGTAGGTCCCAATGAGGAAGCTGAACCATCATGCACAATCATAGAATCTCATTAGAAACCTAAATAATCGCTTGAATGTCATGCCTCACGTCAGTATTTGACATTGGCCCTTAGTGGGGCAACAGGACAAGTCTACGCCTCCCGTAGTTCCCAAATATTGATCAATATTGTTTGCCGAGGAATATACAAATTGCCGAGTATTGGTACCCATATTGGACCATTATTGGGATTTATACTGGACCCCTTATTGGGTCGATATTGACGCTGTCATTTGACCTACATTCATTTCCCAGTGGGTTTTTTTTCCCTAAGGAGTGGACTTTTCTATCTGCGGTACTCGTATGGGGAAGGATCGAAATATCCCCCCGCCCAAGCATACGTCTGATTTATGGGTTATGTAATGGCTCATTTTCCCCTGTCTGTACCAAACATGGTACATTCAGAAGATAATTGACTGTTTCACGCTCTATGACAAGTCCGAAATTTCAATTCTTTATTTCCTTCCCATGAGAGCAGAACGGTCACGCTGAAATTCTTAGAATGAGAAAATGGACAGAACCTGCCGTGACGTTCTAACCCCGTACTTTCGCAAGGGGTTCTCATACAGAATATGAGCTTGCTCATAGTCTGGACTCCTTCATCCTGTCTCCAGTATATGGATGAGAAATGAGGAAGTGCCCTAGTTTATTGACTATTTTAATGATACTAGGCAATACATACGACAAGGTACTAAACACTCCAGTGAGGGTTGATTCCATGGGTGGTGGGAAGGGCACTTTTTGTACTATGCGAAAAGTGAGATCCATACCTCCCTCTAGCTTTAACATTTCCAAAAATAATTTCAAGCGCAACTTGGGAACAGTGGATCATGGTATCGGTCTAATATATAGTCGATGATGGAATAGAAATATTGGGAAGTCGATATTATGCCGATATTGGCAAGATTGGCCAAGATGCAGCTAACTTGCCAAATATTTTTGTCCACCATTATATCCCACCACCACCACTATATCCCCGGCAGCATTGGGCCCACGTTGGCGGCGAGTGGGGGAAAGTGGCCTCACATCGCAGTCGGCTGCCTGTGTTGGCCCCACCTTGGCTCTAGGGGCAGCCAACATTAATCATGACTCAGGATTGCGGTACATGATCCATTTCCAAAGAGAACGTAAAGGAAGACACATGAATTTATCAGTTCACTTCAGGAAATTACAGGCCGGTAAGTCTCACGAGTATCCCAGGGAAGATCATGAAGAGCATACTATGAGAAGATCTCTTGGTTTTCCTCGAAGGAAACGCGCTCATTCGGGACTCTCAACACGGCTTTAGGAGGCTTCGAAATTGTCGCACCAATTTGCTGGAATTCTACTACTGGGCGACGGAAGAGAGGGATAAAGGGCATCCTGTGGACATCGTCTATTTCGATTTCGCGGAAGCTTTCGATACCCTTCCTCATAAGAGGTTGCGAGTTAAACTGGAGGCGCACGGGAT